CCTGCACAGCTAAGGACCAAGGGGAACCTACATCTAAAATTTGAGATATATCCCACAAGTACTTTTTGAGAAATAGCGATAACAAACTTACACTATCAAAATCCAAGATGGCTGCCTGTTGGCCATGTTGTTTATCCGATCAGTCTCAAAAGTTGCCCTGCACAGCTAAGGACCAAGGGGAACCTACATATAAAATTTGAGAAAGATCCCTCTGGTACTTCTTGAGAAATAATACCGATAACAAGAATTGTTTAAGGATGGACGACGGACACCGGACAACGGACGGACGACAGACCACGGACGCAGGGTGATTTGAATAGCCCACCATCAGATGATGGTGGGCTAAAAAGTCCAATTTAAAACCCATCAAAAATAGATCATTTTATAAATACCATAACACTATTTTCCCAAAATAAGAAGATTGATTTGAATCATAATTTACAAAATCACTGATATTACTGATAAATGATTTATAAAATAAATCAGAAAGACAACTCCAATATGAAAGTATTCAGGAGACATGTATGTTTGCCCAATCACTCTTTTTCACCTTGGAGCAAGAGAGAGAATTCAACAGAGATCAAAAATGTGATAAAGTTCAGTATTTTAAAACAACTGAGAGAAAAATTTTGAAATTAAATATAAAGCTTAAAACCTACATTCAGATTCTATTTCACCATGCATCAGAAGTACGAAATATTTGTGCTGATAATTTGTGTACAGGTACTATCCGATATACACGACCACAATTATGACAACTTAAATCAGCACTCTAGTGTTCCTCCTGTTACAGACATTGAGTGCCTGTACAATGATACCCTGACGTTACATGTAAGTTATGTACACTGAACTACCAGAAGTACTTATTGAGTACATGCAATGATACCCCGACGTTACATGTAAGTTATGTACACTGAACTACCAGAAGTACTTATTGAGTACAATAATACCCCGACGTTTATGTAAGTTATGTACACTGAACTACCAGAAGTAATTATTGAGTACAATGATACCCCGACGTTACATGTAAGTTATGCACACTGAACAACCAGAAGTACTTATTGAGTACAATGATACCCCGACGTTACAGGTAAGTTATGTACACTGAACTACCAGAAGTACTTATTGAGTACAATGATATCCTGACATTACATGTAAGTTATGTACACTGAACTACCAGAAGTACTTATTGAGTACAATGATATCCTGACATTACATGTAAGTTATGTACACTGAACTACCAGAAGTACTTATTGAATACTTTAATGATGAACGTAGCCCCCAATATAGATGTGACAAATGCGAATCCCTCTCGCTGGCCGATGCACTTTCTGATAAAAGTCACAATTCTCTGAGTGAATGATTGTCGCATTGGTCTCTTTTCCTGGTCGGTTTTGGCCTATAAAAAAGAAAACAACGTTAGTTTCATTGAAGGAAGAGATGAAACAATTTTATTTTTACATATTTTACAAAGCTACAGCTTTATATATATAAGTACTGCAAAAAGCTTTTTTCATAAATTTCTTTGATATTATTCTTCTGCTTTCAATATTTAGAAATGGATATCAAATCAACGATCATCCTGATTTCTTACCGGTATGCAAAGGAGACACATTATCTAGAAAATATTTAAAGAAGAAGTGTGGAATGTGAAAACAATCTTGATATCATACATGCTGAAATCAAGTTGCTGTCAGTCCTATTGGTAAAGGGAGGTAAATCCAGCCTACCTTGCTGTCCTCCTCCTGTATGATCTTGGCATGTTTGAGATACTGCACTAAGGAGGGGTTATCTTTCTCCACTGGAGGGAAGTACTCATTCTTCTTCTCTCTCACCCACCAGTCCTGCCTGTATAGGAAAGGTTTTAGTGAACACTGGCAAAACATAATACTAAAAGTTCCATCAGCATGAAAACTACCTATGATAACAAATACATGTAAATGTACTATGAAATCAGATATTTTCATGGGGACTAAATTTTGTGGTTTCCTGACAAAACACCATTTCGTGGGTACATGATCTGTGGATTATGAGCACCCACTCATACAGAGAATTGCTATATGTCAAACTTGTAATTACTTAGTGGACCTATGAATTGGTGGATGAAGATTACAATGAAATTAAAAACCCACAAAAATTAGTGATTTCACAGTACATAAACAGACTAATGTATTAACCCCAGATTGGCTTATCTGCATTTCTTGTTTCAGACAACTATTGGGGCTTTCTCATGCTGCGCATAATCAATTCGGTCCATTAGCCCCAAAGTCATTGGGGTTTCATTCATTTCATATACATGTCATACACAGTTTACATCGTACAGGACCATTTTCCGCCTGGTTCTTCAGTAGGGTTCAGGACTCGCCTGGCGATGTAACCAAACTATGCATGATAGCAGTCTTTGTTGTACAGGACTTTCGCCTGGTTCTCCAAGAGGACTCAGGACCCCGCCTGGCCACAACCTGCTCATTCAATTTCAATTTCTTCATTTGTTCATTGTCTACCAGCTCAAAACTTTAATACTTACCTCATTACCCTTAACCAGGAGCGCCTTTTCCTGTTTATAGGATTAGGACTTGCACCTGGTAGGGAATCTTGAATTTATCTTCCTTCATGCTGGTAATTGTGTCATATATATGCAGCAGCCAAGACAGCCCTAAATGCAATTTGTTTGTTTGATTTTGTTCTATGTTTTGTTTAGTTAAGTATGTGTTTGCTATGCTATGTAAATTATATCATGTGTAGAACAGTTTTGGAATGTAAATACTTAGTGATTTATTTTATAATACATCTGTAAATCTTAAAAATCCGTGTTTGTTATTGTTTATAAACTAGGTATTTGTTTTTTTAATTTCCTTTTCCTTTTTTTTCAAACAGATTGATTCTATTTTGACTGCAGGAAATGCCACATCAATCTCCATTAGAAACTGATCACATCATCATTATGGATCATGAATGAGGAAAATTAATTTCTGTAAATTGAGAGCATTGCTACATTGAATATACTGGCCAGCCTACCCATTAGCCTGTGAGAAGTGGTAATGGTAGAGCGTGGCCCGGATGTACTTCGGTGGTTCCTCTGGATAGGGGTTGTGTTGTAGTAACTGTATGACCTCTGGTTGACCTTGAAGAAGTCTGTACACCAAATTGACAAACCATGTGTTGTGCTGGTAGCTCCCTAAAGCTGCAAACCACATCTGCCAGTCGAGGCGAGGCTGGTGTGGAGCTGGAAGAATGCAGTTATAGCATCTGTATTATATTCAAACATCAATGCCAAACTTGAGACACTAACAAATGTGCTACCTAATCCTTTTACCTCACTCCTCTATACTACAACATAGCCTTAACCATTGAAGACCCTGTGCCATCTTCTGTGGGTGTGTATAGCTTGGCACCAAATGGAAACTATAAATGCTACATAATAGACTTGTTGCTGTTCGATATGACCAACAAGGTAAAGTGTCTACCTCTAAACAAGTACTAAAACTTTTCTAAAGTTTGGAGAAGATGAGGTTGGAATTTTGAATCAGACACTTTAAGACAAGAGGCCAAAGGGCCTTAGCGGTCACCTGAGTTATATCATCGGTACTGGTAGCTTTATTTTATTGTTTAGATGTGATGTGGAAATCAGCATGTAAACTAAGTGAAATACAATACTTGTCATGTCATCAAAGGATAAGAATTTGAAAATTATTGGTAAATGTTCCCTTTGGGGCCCTGCCCTAGCCCCTGGGGATGGGGCAGGAATCCCAATTTTACAAAGTAATACTCTCATTCACCAAAGATGATTCTGACTAAGTTTGAGAAATTTTCTGCTGAAAATGGATAAAATATATACCCAAAAGTGTTATTTC